TGAGGAAGGATGACGCAATAGAGGCAAAGGAGGTATAAGATGCACGTGAGTAGTGTTAAGGAAGTGGAAATTCTTGACTCCAGTTCTCCTTGTATAAGCAAATAAAAACACTGAGTCAACTAGCTTTGAACAATATAGATAAGAAAAGACTTAATTAGACATATCAAGCTATTCTGATACAAATATGCAGATGTAATCAATCAAGTGAAACTTATAAAAAACAAAATGCAATTAGGCTAATATAATATCTATATAACATCTCTGTTTAGCTACAAACTATAGATAACAAATATGTATCTCATAAATAAAATCTCTGAATCAATATGATGAATCATCAATGAATATGAATCATTATTTGAGAAAGAAATTGCTTTGTTTTCTATTTCAAGAAACTTGAATTTTAATATATATATATATATATATATATATATATATATATATATATATATATATATATATATATATATATATATATATATTCATATATATATATATATATATATATATATATATATATATATATATATATTTATATATATATTTATATATATATTTATATATATATTTATATATATATTTATATATATATTTATATATATATTTATATATATATTTATATATATATTTATATATATATTTATATATATATTTATATATATATTTATATATATATTTATATATATATTTATATTTATATATATATATATATATATATATATATATATATATATATATATATATATATATATATATATATATATATATATATATAAATAAAACAACTGTTGCTGACAATTATTCATGTCACTTATTGGTAAGAATAATGGAACAGTCAATAACTAAGAGAATAACTTGTCTACTTTACACTCTGTACAAAGCATACAGAATATATGGGAGCTTTTTAATTTTGTGTAATAGTCTTTCTTTCACATTTTACCTTAAAGTTATTAAATTTCTTACACACTTTTCTCAAAATATTTCTGTTTAGAAAGAAAAGAAAAGAAAAAAAAAAAGAATCACCACATATTTTTCTACCAATTATTTTCTGTCAGTGAATATGATCATTTGATTAAAATGCTGAAACCACCTATTCAAATTTCATTTTATCATTATGAGTCAGGAATTTCATACACCATACATCAATAGAGTAAGCCCTCTACCACAGTATGTTCTCTACAAGACCGACAAATACTACTGCTTTTTGTAGAGTGACTTACTTCCTTCTTTATACGAGTTCCTTTTTGATGTCGAGGAATTCTTAACATGCGACACTGAGAAGAAACAGAGAAACAAATGAAAACTGAACAAAGTTCTTTGTGACTAATGTAGAAAAAGGTATGAATGAGAATAAATCTATAAGACACATTTCCATTAAATCAGCATCATCATCAATTCATATAACTGAATTTATGTCAAATACATCTCTTGCACTGTGAAGTTGTTTATACTTGTTCGTACCTTTTTCTATATTAAGAAAATACAACAGAAAAAAACATGCAAACACTGACAGAAAAAGAACAAGATCATGTGAGAATGGGTGTGAAGAGGAGAGAGAACTAAATAAGAGAGAGAGAAAGGGAAAAGTGAGAGAAAGAGAAGAAAGAGAAAAGAGAAAAGAGAACAGAAAAAAAGAGAGAGAAAGGGAAAAGTGAGAGAAAGAGAAGAAAGAGAAAAGAGAAAAAGAGAAAAGAGAAAAAGGGAAAAGTGAGAGAAAAGAGAGAAAGAAAAAAGAGAAAAGAGAAAAGACAAAACACAAAAGAGAAGAGAGAAACGGGAAGAGAGAAAAGGGAAGAGAGAAAAGGGAAGAGAAAAAAGACAAGAAAGAAGAGAAGATAGTAGAGATATATATATAGAGAGAGGGAGAGGGAGAGGGAGAGGGAGAGGGAGAGGGAGAGGGAGAGGGAGAGAGAGGGAGAAAGAGAGAAAGAATAAAATAACAGTAATAGCAAAAAAGATAGAAACAACTAAACAGACAGACACAATAAAAAAGATTAGTGACAACAAACCTGAAAGAAACAGTGAAACAGAAAGAGGGAGGAAAAGAAACAGAGTGACTGAGATAGAGGGAATGATAAAGAAACAGACATTGACAAAGACAAAGGGAGCAAATGAGACAGAAAGAGAGTGGCACACATTAGAAGTCTATTATTCAACTTTAACTTCAATCACCTATCAAAACCTTCCATTTAACAAATATATGCAAAACATAAAAAACCCTATCCACTCAATAAAGATTTAACACACACAAATAATGCAAAACATCAAATAAAAACCTAATGATGAAGTTACTGAACATGCATACCTAAACACTTAACACAGAATGCCCTCCTATGTTAGAGTACTGTGTTGTTCTATTAGTTTTCCACACATGCAACATATCAACATATGGTCAAACTGAATTATACAACATAAAAGCAAACAGGTTTACCATAAGTAATTATTACAGGGAATGAATAATGTATCTATGAGGCATATTTAGTCCTGATTGTAGAATTATTTA